AAAAGCTCTGAGTTACTGCAATGATTTCCGGAGCTTGGTCCGAATTGTTCGGCGCTTCTTGTATTTTATGGAGATCTTCACTGTCCACTTCATCAACTGTTTGCTCGAACCCGACACGCTCACCCAACCTTAAGGTCAAGAAGTCATCACGCATGGAGACTCCCTTTACTACACCAGTCTTTACCTCACCTATTTTTGCAGATCGTTGCTGCACGCTAATCGGTGATCGAGATCTTCCGACGTCTTCCGAGAAATCACTTGGGACGTACTGTAGGTCTGACGGGTATTCGGGAGGTGTCCCATACCTGCTGGCTGGGTTAGATATTCCCGCTACGCTCGTTACTATTCCGAGGGCGGCGCTAAGGGCATGGCGGGCACGCAAGTATGTCTCCTGCGAGAACATGTCAGGAGTGGAAGTGCCATATGAACTATGGTTGTCCGGGGATTCGGGCTTGACAGTGAGCTCGGGAGGAGTGCCGTAGCGACTCTCACCTCCTCCAGGACTAGCTGGAAGGTTGGGGCAATCCCCACAGTCCTCACCCTCTGGAAACGTCACTACGATGTCGGCGACTGTGTGGCGGCTGGCGGTAATGTGGCTGCCAAGTGACAGAACAGAATGCCTGGCCCCTTGAAAAGAGCCAAAATTATGGTCACGGGGAAGGGATTCGCCAGGAGCGATTACTTCAGCTTCGCCGACGTTGCTTCTTTGGGGTGGGCCTCCATCGTCGGGCAGGATGAATATGATGTACAGGAAGTTAATGACTGCTAAACCCTCCGCACCTGCAGTAGTCCGAGGAAATGTAGTTCTGAGTAACGGTGTTAATGAGAGAGGCAGATAGACACAGAGGCAACGAGAATGGGTGATAAAAGAAAGAGAAATAACGAAAGAAAAGGAGTGTCAGGCACACACACATCGACAAACAAGTAAAGACAGACACAGACCGACTGAAAACACACACCCAAGAAAAGCATAGCATGTGTCGCCCCGAGGTAGTCCGTGAGGAAGGGCAGCGAGAGAAGGCCGACGGCGCCCCCTAGGAAAATGGCTGCCTCTAACATGCTGAGCCGAACTGTCCTTTGGCTCTCCGAGGATTTCTGGATCACGTAGCTCGTCACCGCCGACTGTTGGAGAGGGGATAGCAGGGGCTTTGTTTAATTATCCAAACTGATAAAGAGAGGATTGAACAGATATACATAATTAATTATGGTGATATTAAGCAATGACCTAGGCGACTCGAGCTAATCATGATCTAGAATTTACATCGTTTACATCGAGAAGGTATTTGACCTTATCATGAGAATTTATATATAATACGACGTTGTCATGAGTATTTACAGAGTATTCGCTTCTACCAGAATGATGTGGTACATACTGATGTTCCATGAACACCAGAATGGTACTCGACGTCACCATGAACATTAATATTATATTCGACGTTACTTAACCCTCCATTAAAAGAGCACCTTCAGAGTCACGTATCCGCCAGAGATGTTACCAATAGCGATGGCGATGAAGATCAAGTAGATAGGTAACTGAGGAAAAGTGGCTAGAAACACGATTCCAAGCGCCCACACGATCATGCACACAACGGGTGCAATCATAAGGACCTTTTTTGAACACCTGCAAGGAGAAATATCATTGCATTCAACAATGTCATCGCCATCATCACGTATAATCAGCTTTATTGTAATTATTATAATATTATTATCATCATTACCATTTCCATGAGTATCACTACTACAATCACTATAACTATCATCACTGCTATCATCATAAATATATTTTCTCCTCCTCCTTATCCTCCTCCTCTTCATTATCATCATCACCATCATCATAACTATCATCATACTATGCATCCACAACCTGTCCATCCAATGTCCCAGAAATTGTGATGACAGGATGGAGGTTATGGAGAGGGTGATGGTCGCTCCCATGTAGAGCCTCACAGCCTCCTCCTGCACTTCCCGCACCCTAGAATTCTGATCCGCTGTAACTCCTAAGGGTGTCCATTCTTCTTCGGGATTCGGGTAAAGGTGAAGAGGCGAGGTGAAGGAAGTGGGGGAAGTCTGAGAGGACGCTGAATGGGCGCTGCTGTTCCCACAGTCTGGGTCTCCAATTTGCTCAAAACACAGACGAGACAAGATGAATTCCTGGCTTAAGATTATCTGTGTGGGAGACGTTTGGAAGAGACAATGTATCTTTAAAATATGATCAATTACCAGGAAGTGAAGATTGCAGTTACACGCGTAAATTACTTAATCTACGGAACTCATCGTAAAAAAGGAAATTATCATAGTTCGCCCTTTTTGTACCAAAGAAAATGTAAATAATGTATGGGTTAACGAAATTAATCTCTCCAACTTACTAAAATCCCATAAGATGCCATGTACATGAAGATAGTAGGTTCAGCCGATATCAGCGCCATTTTGGAATTCTGTTAAAAAAACTAATCTGGTCCAGAAATAGTAGATTAGTAAAACAGCAACGCGAATGAGACAG